CGACACTACACAAATCCATCCACCAAAAATGGTCCCGCTACCAGGGATGGCATTAAAAATCCTTGAAATCTGATTACAGTATTTTGTTTTTAGTTCTTTATAGCTTTTCTGTTTTTATTCATTCACTCAAAAACTTGTGTTGTTACTTTTGTGATTTGATTACTGGTTTATGACTAGAAGCAATCTATCTGGAGAGCTAAGTTTTGATCCAGAAATCAAAGATACGACGAGGAGATCAAAATCCTGCGAAAATTCTAAAGAAGATCAGATGGCAGAGGTAGCAGCAGCTGATCAACCTCAAGAAAGAGAGCTACAACCAGCTCAACCCAGACTTCTAAGAGATTATTTTGTACCCCAATAGGAGGAAGTGCAAACTCCATTGGTGTACAATGATGTTGCAGCAGAGAACTTTGAGCTAAAAACTCAAATGATTCAATGGGTGCAAGCTGCTTGTCCTTTCTATGGACTACCCAGTGAAGACCCAAATGAGCACATCAGGATATTCCTGAGACTATGCACCACCTTCAAGATTCAAGGGTTGTCCAAGGATGAGGTATATTTGAGACTATTTCCATTCACATTGCAGGATCTGACGGCAAAATGGTTGGACACTCTGCCCAACAATTCAATCAACTCCTGGAGTGGACTCAGACAGGCATTCCTTACAAAATTCTTCGCACCTATCAAAGCTGCTGCTTTAAGATCAGCCATCATGACTTTTTAGCAGCATGGGACAAAGACTCTTTATGAGGCCTAGGAAAAATTTAAGCACCTGATGAGAAAGTGCCCTCAACATAGTGTGGAAAAGCCAATGTAGTTGTGCATTTTCTACAATGGATTGCAGCAAGCCTCCAGAGAATCACTTGATTCATCATCTGGAGAGCATTCATGATGAAACCTATAGAAGAGGCAATCCAACTATTGGAGAATATGCGTGCAAACCACTTTAGATGGCAAAAAGAGCCTAGAGCTACATCTAAAAAGGCAGGAGTGTTGGAGCTAGATGCTACAACTCACTTGCAAGCACAGATGGCGGCCATCACCAGTGAAATATCAAAGCTGAGAGCTGATATCAACAAACCAAAAGTTGATGTGTGTGAAATTTGCACAGGATCTCACCCCAGCTTTGTCTGTCAAGCCACAGTGGAATACGTTCAGTTCATGAGGCAAGGAGATAACAGAGGAGGCTTCAACAGTTACAACAATTGGAGGTCACAGCAGAACAACAACTGGACTAATCAGCAGTCAAACTACCAGAGATCAGTGCAACCACCTGAATTTCAGAATCAACCATTTAGAGTCAAGGAGGAAGACTGAATCAAGGTTGGTAATGTTTTTGCTAGTCTTGATGCAACTGTAAAGGATATGCAAAATCAGGTTGCACAGATGGCAAGGAGGATACCAGACAGACCTGATGGTACTCTTCCTAGAGGAGGGAAGCACACAACACTCATCAAAAGGCTGAATTGCAGCACAAGGAGGTGTTGCGATCAAAGGAATCTAAGTAAGAAGCACCAATCAATCTGGCATAAGACGTTAAACCAATGCACTGCTTGGGAGGCAACCCTAGGTAAGTTATTTTCTTCTACTTAATTTTGTTTCAATTATCTTTTTATAATTAATCAATCTGTTTAGTGGTAATAAAAAGGAGTGGTGGCACTCTTATCATAAATTTTCAGGTGAAGATTGTTTGGATAATTAACCTAGAATGCCTTGCAGACTATGATATAGTCAAAACGGCCACATTCGAGTTTAATTATCTACACAAAGCAATAGACAATGATCTGTCATCTCAGTTGGGCGAGTGATAGACTCACTTTCGCGATTGAAAAGATTTATCAGAAAAAGAAATTACAGATCAACAGTCACCAAGTGTACTGGTCAAAGGGAAGCAGGAAGGAGGGAAGATTAATTCAAAATAACAGGCGAAGTGGGAGGGTAAAATTGTCTAGGGTAATGCCTGGGATACTGGAACATTCCAACTCAAAAACTTACATCCCACACCTCCATATACAGCCCATTAAAATAAACATTAACCCCCTCCGACTCTCCACCTCTTTCTAACAGCCATCATCACCAAAACCCTACAGCCAAAAACACTTCAGTACTTCTAAAACACATCATAACAATGGTGATAGAAAGACAATCCTCAGAATCCAGAGACGCAGGAAGATGGACACACACTCCTCGCAGAGTTCGTCAAAGTCATATCAGAAGAACGGACTCAACACAAGGTTCGGAGGAGGTCGAATCCACACCACGACTCTGGGAACGGTGGGTGATCATGGAAAGCGTGGCATCCTTCCCAACAGATCTACCGTCTTACATTGTAGGACATCAGTGGGAAAGACTTTGTGATGTGCCTCTAAGGCCAAACCTCACTCCGGTCAGGGAATTCTACTGCAATATAAGAGAAGCACAGGGTGATTGTAACTATCCAAAAATTGAAAATACTTTAACTTGAAATTTTTCGGTATAAAACTTTAGGTAGATATGGAAAGACGCGTTAAAACTATGAAATTAATAACTACGAACCATATTTGTGGTTTAAATATTAAATGTTGGCAATTATGGCCAAATATTTGATCAATTCATGATGCATAAATTACATATTCATCCTAGCTAGCATACATGATTTAAAGACGTAGAAAACTAATGACAAGGAATTCAACCTATATGGTAAAGCACGTTGGTGAAACAAGCAAGATACTCTCCATGCTATAATGACTAGGCAAATTTGAAAGGACCATTTGGAATGTAGGAAAAACATAGAATAGTGAAACATGAAGGTGAAATAGGCAGCACACATAAGCTATTTTGGTTCCTTCAATTGCTAATGGTGCCAAGCTATTTGGGGCATGTGGGGAATCTAGGAATGAGGATTAAGCAAAGCTATGACCCTAGTGAAGAAGGTGAAGCAAAAAGGTACCTACGCTAATCCTAGCAATGACTCATCAAAACCTAAAGGGAACATTGGGCAAGTTTAAGAGATTCACTAGATGACTAACCATATTAAATACTTAAACATACAGCTGAAACATGTAGGTGAAGCAAATATGTTACTTAACTATAATCTGAATGAGCTAGCTAGTCTAACATTTAGGCGATGATACATATAGCTGAAGCACGTAGGTGAAGCAAGATGGTTATTCATGAATCTAATATGAATAAAAAATCCCACTAGGACATGTGTCACGTCTAGGAAAGCTTAGACTAGTGATTACTAGAAGCTAGTTTGATGAAGCATAAAGGTGAAACAAGGAGGTGAAAAATGAATATAAATAGGGGGGAATGGGAACTTGTTCAAAGCACACCAAAAACAAAAAGAATTAAACAAGAGAGTTAGTGAGTCTTGAGAGTTTTTAGAGCTTAAAAAAAGGAAGGAAGGATTGATATTTGGCGTTGCTCTAATATCGTCTTAGAGAGGTGATACTTTATTGAGGCTGCACCACATACCAAGTAGTATTCTCACGCTTTTTAAAAAATTGGGAGTATGGGAATATGTTCTAAAGACACTACAGACTTGAGCACGTTCAACACTGCAGACTTGAGCACGTTCCTGTAAATATTATTGAAATATCAAATGCATAGTGTTGGGAATTCTATTGGACCTCTTGGGAATGTCCAACCCAAAGAGTTGAACATTGAGAGACCCAGAATAGACATGTTGATACATAGATCGAGTTTCAACAAGTGTGATAGAATGTTCAATGAGATAGGTTGAAAAATTCTACGAAATAAGATGGATAAAATGGTGTACTCGATTATAAAATTTAGCGAGATTGAAAAAAATGTTTCTCTGACTCTTATTATTTGCATCTTTGAAATTATATTGTAAAGGTCAAAGATTGAAGATTTTATGTGCGTACATGTGTTTATTGATTAATTTCTTTCGTTATTAATACTAATAGAGATTTTATATTGATTAAATATTTTTAAGTGCAAATGATTGTTGATAAGGGATTATATATCATTAGATTGAAGTAACCTAAGTAGAGTAATACAAGAATAGTGTTGACAAAAAATATCAAGTTACCAAAAGTTGACAGAAGTATATAGCAATTAGGAAAAATAGATAAAAGATTAAGTTTATGATGAAGAGATTATATTAGATTACCCAGAATAATAATAGTTTAAAGACTTGAATGCATAACTAAAACTCTAGTATATTTTAAGTTTCCCTTAAACAAACAGATGTACTAAATTAAGTTTTAAATCTTATAGGAAATGGAGAGACAAAGTACCCCTGAGCCACAACTAGAAACTTTAGGAAACCGCCAAAATATCGAAAGTAACATGGTCTTACAAATGACTGAAATGTTTGGATAGATGCGCCAATTCTTTGAGCAAATGAGAACACCATCTCCAAACCAACAAGGACTTCCCTTAGACTGGGGGAGGATGTAGCCTTAGAAAGATTTCAGAAATTTCATCCACCAAAGTTTAATGGAGAGCCAAACTATGAAAAAGCTGAACTATGGTTGTAAACTATAGAAGCAATATACGCTGCCTTGCAATACTCAGATGAGCGAAAGATAGCTTTTGCCGTCTCTCAACTAGAAGGAGCAGCAAAAGCTTGGTGGAATCTAGTGAAACCTCGATGGGGGTAAGAACAAAATCCCCGCACTTGGATAAATTTTATTAAAGAGTTTACTATCAAGTATGTAGCAACTATAGTGCGTGAAAGGAAACAAGAGGAGTTTATCAACCTCCGTCAAAACACCATTACTGTGATAGAATATGAAGCCACCTTTACAAAACTATCAAAATTTGCACCTAAACTTGTAGAAACTGACTAAGAGCGAAAGTTTAGGTTCATGCAAGGCCTTGACCTAGAAATCCAAGCTTCCTTAGCTGCCACTACATATGACACATTTGAGAAATTATTTGAAGCTGCCCAATGAGTAGAACATAACCTCGAGAAGCTTAGAAATTTCAAAAACCAGAAACGAGAGAACTTCGGTGAAGGACAAAAACTAGATAGGGATCTTGAATCCTCAATGCCAAAACGTCCAAGAACTTCACCTCATCCTACTAAATTAGCTTCCATGGAAGAGCCAGTAACTTGCACTTACTGTGACCGAGTAGGGCATTCAGAAAAAGATTGTTGGTTCAAGCAATGTAAGTGTTTAGGATGTGGGAGTTCAGAGCATTTTATACGAGATTGTCCAAAGCCTCGAAATAATCCCCTTGAGCAAATAGGAAATGTAGCTCCTCCAAGGAAGACTGAAGATGGTAATCGTCAAGGTAAGGCACATGGACGAGCTTATGTTGTGAGGGGAGAAAACGAGCTAGGACAAACAGTCACTTTGGAAGGTATACCCTTAGCCAACTTGTAAACTTGGTAGATTGTATTAATGAATTCCTTTGAAGTGTAGAGCTATAGTGTCCTTTAGTATTGTATAAACATCAATAGATAGAGTCATAACTAATAACTACTTAGAAATGCAAGATCATCTTGTCAAAATTTTAATAAGTTTAGGAAAAAAAAAAAAAAGGTCAAAGAATCTTTGGAGGTGAACTAGGGACCTAAATAGAGAAATAAATAAATAAAAATTGTGGTAGTATCTTAAGGAGGGGAACAAGAACTCATGACCATAAAGACCGTTAAGCCTAAAGAGTTTGACGATTAGTGACTTTCAAGGATGAAATTTTTTAAGGAGGAGAGAGTGTAACAATCCAAAAATTTAAGGTACTTTAACTTGAAATTGTTCGATACAAAAATTTAGGTAGCAATGGAAAGGCACGTTAAAACTATCAAATTAACGAATAGGAACCGTATTTGTTGTTTAAATATTAAATGTTGGCAATTATGGCCGAATATTTGATCAATTCATGATGCATAAACTACATATTCATCCTAGCTAGCATACATGATTTAAAGACGTAGAAAACTAATAATAAGGAATTCAACCTATAAGGTGAAGCATGTTGGTGACATAAGCAAGATACTCACCATGCTATTATGACTAGGAAAGTTTGGAAAGACCATGTGAAATGTAGGAAAAATATAGAATAGTGAAATATTAAGGTGAAATAGGCAACACGCATAAGCTATTTTGGTTCCTTCAATTGCTGATGGTGCCAAGCTCTATGGGACATGTGGAGAATCTAGGAATGAGGATTAAGCAATGCTATGACCCTAGTGAAGAAGGTGAAGCAAACAGGTGACTACGCTAATCCTAGCAATGACTCATCAAAACCTAAAGGGACATTGGGCAAGTTTAGGAGATTCAGTAGATGACTAACCATATTAAATGCTTAAACATATAGCTGAAACATGTAGGTGAAGCAAATAGGTTACTCAGCCATAATCTGAATGAGTTAGCTAGTTTAATATTAAGGCGATGATACATATAGCTGAGGCACGTAGGTGAAGCAAGATGGTTATTCATGAATCTAATATGAATAAAAAATCCTACTAGGACATGTGTCACATCTAAGAAAACTTAGACTAGTAACTACTAGAAGCTAGTTTGATGAAGCATAAAAGTGAAACAAGGAGGTGAAAATGACTTTAAATAGGGGGGAATGGGAACTTGTTCAAAGCACACCAAAAAAATTCAGAAATAAACAAGAGAGTTAGTGAGTGTTGAAAGTTTTTACCAAAAAAATTCAGAAGTAAACAAGAGACTTAGTGAGTGTTGAAAGTTTTTATAGCTTAAAGAAAGGAAGGAAGGATTGATATTTGTCGTTGCTCTAATATTGTCTTAGAGAGGTGATACTTGTATTGAGGCACATACTGGTGAGTATTCGTACTCTTTTTAAAACTATTTTAAAAACTGAGAGTATGGGAATATGTTCAAAAGACACTACAAACTTGAGCACGTTCTTGTAAATATTATTGAAATATCAAATGCATATTGTTGAATGACTCAGTGGTGTACTTTACCGCCCGGAGATATGTATTTTACTTGTTATCGTATTTGAAGTAAAGTTGAATTGTCTATGTGTGAAATGTTGGTTTTGATTATATGATTGATTAAGTGAATGTTGAATGTTCCGATGGTGTTCACCACCTCAGCAGAGTTTGCAATGTTATTGTTCGCCCTAGATATTATTTGTGCATGCAAGAGTTAAGAGTTTGGCCCTGCCTTGGTTAGCAAAACTAAACGATTCAAGCATCGGGCTTAGTCGGATAGCTAGTTACGTTGGCTAGAGTTATGATACTCATGAGTCATCAAGAGTAGGTACCAAGGGAGACATAAGGAAACGAGTTATAAAGAGATAATGTTTGGACTAAATGCCCCAGAGTTATGATCCAGCTTGGATTCACCATCTACAGTGCCATATAGGCCTGAGGCGGCCCCTTGTCGCGATCCCCGTATCCACCCTATTGTTACTTAGTTATTCTAAGTGTTTTGATTGTATTATATATTTCATTGTTAATATGTGAAACTGTTTTACAAGTGTTTTCTTGAAAATGTTTTATTAAAATTATTGTAGTAGTATAGTGAGAACCTCATTGAGCTTGGTGCTCACCCCCTATATATCTATATATTTCCCCCTTCCCTTCCCCGGAACACATTAAGGAATATGCTGCTATCAAAGGAACAATGTTCTCAGGAGACTTGAGTAGGACTTGAGATTGTCTATACCTCTACTTGAGTTTAGAATACCAAGTAGGTTGAATAATGTGGTTGTTAAAAGCTTGTTCTCTAATATTATATAGAGATAATGTTTAGTGCAGAATAAGTTATTGTATCAATTGAAGTTGATATGTTATACTCCTTGTAATAAAAGTTTGGTTTTATCTTATCTTCTGAGCCTGGCGAACACCCCGGTGTTGCTAGCTTGACTTGCCTTTCACTTTGGATTTTAAAAGAAGGAAAAAAAAAATGTTTACACAGAAATAGGCTGGTGAAAACCCGAGGTGTTACAGTGATACTGTGATAGTAAGAGGCAGAGCCGTCGACATCCGCGAGGCGGCTATCAGAGAGTTGCTGCAATTGCCAAAGATAGGTTTCCCCCATGAGGAAGCACTGAATTAGATGATGGAATTCGACCATGAAGAACAGTTATAAGCAATGTTGATTCAGGAACCGAATGTCATCTGGACATTCAGGAACGGTAGCCTACGGCACTTTCCAGCTTCAGGTTTAAGACCAAAGTACAAGCCCTGGTTCAACTTCATCTGAACCAACCTCATACCCAGCCGCCGTCGGAAGAAGGTAACTTATGAAACGGCACTATTGCTCTATGCAATACTCACCAACACACCGGTCAATGCGGCTGAAGTAATCATGGAGCAGATGGGGATATGCGCTTCCAACACACCGGTCCTTGTTATCAAGCTCATGGAGCGAGCCAATATGCAATTTCTGCCCACAGATGTCAGGAAGGAACTTTAACGATCATGATATCTAGAGAACCCACCATACCCCTCTTTGAGGGGATAAAACTGCAATCACCCAGGGGAGTCTTTAGTTTTTATTTTTCCTTTTCTTTTCTTCTTTTTTTATCTTTTGTTTCTTTTAATTAGGTCAGTTTTTATATTTTTTTTGTTTTGATTCTATGCATCTAGAGTCCTTAGGATAGATAGAGTCCACTTTGTATGATGATCTTTCTGATTAACAGATGAATTGCATGCTAAGTGAATGTGTGTTATTCTTTCCCTGTTTTCTGTGTTTAAAAACATTGAGAATAATGCTTATTTTAAGTTTGGGGGAGGGATTTGTATGTGTTGCATTGATAGGATCAAATTTTGAAAAATCTACTAAAATTTTTAGAATTTGTGTACAACTGTGAACAAGGCTGTGTGTATACAGCGTCAAAAGTCTGTGATGATTCAAAATTTTTGGAAAATTTTGAAATTTGGGACACTTGTTCATTGACTTGAAATCAGTCCCATAGTTTTTCACTTTCTCGAGTACAGTATGTCACTTGCCATAGTGAGAGTTTTGAACTTAATGCTAAAATCTGAATGCCTTAATTACATTGTTGTGATCTTATACAGGAGTCCACTTGTCTGAAACCCGGGGGGACTGTAATTCTGAGTGACGAGTAAGGCAACCTTTCGCATCATGGTAGACTCTATAAGAGCCCATAGTGGTCTGTAAAAGACTAAAAAACCTTGAGAAAGGGGAATGGTTGGCGGTTGAAACGTGCTGAAAAGAAAAAAAAATTCTGAAATGAGAGAAGTTAGGAAGACTGTCCAATGAGGCAGTAATGCCCTTGAGTGTTTAGGTTTGGCAAACCAGTAGAGAGAGTCCTCAGGCCTGGTGAGAAAAAATGAGAAAAATGAATAAACTACCCAAAGTTATGAGCCACTGTGAGAAATCAGTATAGATAATGAGTGGAACTATGCTCTGGGTAAAATGCCCTAAGTTACTGAGGCACTGTAAATTGATGTGGAAATATGCTCTGGGTGAAATGTCCTAAGTTGGTGAGCCACTATGAATAGATAACTGAGTGAAAATATGCTCTGGGTAGGGGCCAGAGTGGGAAAGATCCAGAAGAAAAGCCATATGGACAAAGAGAAAAAGGGTTGAGGGAGAACTAAGGTGCAGACAATGTTGCTGAAGAATCTGAGAGGAAGTCCATAGAATCTAAAAATCTTAGTAAGAATACCCTAGTTGATGGCATGCAGGAAATAGGTATTGATCACAATGATGTCTATTTGCTCTTAAACTGATTAATTCTTAGAATGGATCATAGGTAAAAACTTGAATTCTGGCTGTGATATATGCTCACACACACTGAAAAACTGTGATGCTGCCTTTCTGTGATGAACAATGGTGTATAATCTGTCCAGCAAGGGACTTGAATCTGAGACTAACATTGATTCAATGTTACATTTACTTATGTTCATTTAGTAGAACACATTTTTTTTGAACACTGTCATTACTTTTATCCATGAAAATTCAAAAATATCACTTCTTCACTCTGAGTCAGTCTTTTTGTGTCTACGTCAATAGAGTGTGGTTTAAATCTGTTTGCTAAAGGATAAGCAAAACCTCTGAGCTGGGGTCTGTTGCTTAAGGACAAGCAACACTTCAAGTTTAAGGGTATATGATGATAGTAAAATATATACCCTTTTAGCAGGCATTTCTTAATCATTTCTACTTATAATTTATTGTTAATTAGTTAGAATTACTTTATTTTTAGGGTGATTTTGCAGTTCAGGTATCTTAGAGTGCCAATGTGGAAAATTAGCATAAATGAGGGCCGAATTGCACAAAAAGGCATCAGAAATGACTGGAATGGGAGCTGCTGGAAATTGGTCTATTGGAAGATTGATCAAAAGCTGGAGCAAGTGGAGAAATCCTTGCTGAGCAAAGAAGATTGGCAGCAGATGATCACCACTTGGAATAATC